ATGTAAACTGTGTGTTACAAAATGTAACTTTAGACATGTAACTCCAGTGTTTGAGGAGGAGATGATAGCTATTTTGCAACCGGGCACACCATCCTCATGGTGCACCGCAGTTGCACGGTATAATTTGCCTGACTCATGTGTCTAACAAAATTAAACACAACCATGTCTATTTGAATATAATAGGAGTAGTAATTAAATGGAGGGACACGTATAAAACTACTCCCTTCGTGATCAAACCATAAGTATTTGTATGTGTATCCTAAAATGGAGCTTAGTGGCTCAATCGATTATCCCATCTGTGTAAATATATAAACATTATAATTTGAATTTAATTAATGTAATTTTACATTCTAAAGTTTAAATAATATCTACATCACTTCACTACATGCCCAAACAATAATATTACCGTAGCTTTGTCGATTTTTAGGATTTTGTTTAAATAAAGTGGAAATGTATGTCATGGTTAATGTAGAAAAAGAATGATAATACTATCGTATTAACTACACAAATTATTCCAAGAGAAACCTAAACAGAGTAGGAAATGAGAACAAATTTTGTTACACTATAAAAGAAAAATTGAAAAGAAGTATGATCTACACCATACTTGTACATCACTAGTTTTCTCATCTTCATGAGTAGAACATCTAAAATGCCGCGGTGCCGCCTTTTTAATTAAAGAACCTAAAATGCCTTTTTAGATTACATGATGCGTAGGTGTATTACTTTAATTTTTATTTTTACTTACTCATAATTGTTTAACTCGTCTACAAAAAAGTGCAAGACTTAAAAAGGCTACATTGCACATTTACATAAAGACCCGACAACATTTAACCAAACGTGATAATTGATTAGGCCAGACTAAACCATACATAAATAGACTAAGTATGACTCACACAATACTAAAATAGTCAAATACGTAGGCCAGGTACTTCGTATTTATAAATCAGTGAGATGTCTATCAGATTGGACTACACTGGATCCAAACACACCCAATGCAACCTCATCAAATTAGACTAGAAAATTCCAATTCAATTAAAAGTGTCCTTAATCACACACTATATATACGTTTAGTAGATCAAACTAGAAATTTTCAAAACAATTTAAAACATGAAACAATGACTAGAAAAAGATCATTATGAGCTTTTAAACGGATTAGGGGCTAAGCCTTGATTGTGTCACTGGAGTCTGGGCGAAGTAACTACAACGATGGCTATTGTGGTGATTGGTGAGGTGGAATGACTCTGGGCGGAGTACATTCTTACTACCTTTCTCCTTATTTAGTTAGCTATATTTGAGTTTTTCAATATAAAAAAGGCAAACATCGTGTTAATCATTTTTTTTTTTTTGCGAGATCGTGTTAATCATTTTTAAACTAATACGGAGTGTACCTTTTCAATTCCTCAATTTTGTTAAGTAAAAATTGAATCATTGAAATTTGTAGACCAGAAGAAAATTTTAGGAACCAAAAATTTATTAATTAAAAGGAACAAACAAAAAAGAAAATATGACACAGATTTAAAAGATTGGAAAGTATACTTTTTACAAAGATGTAAAATTTATACTATAGTGATAATATTTTAAGAAAGAAAAATTTCATATAATTTTCATCTTCTAAACACTTTCATATATAAATATATTATTGATCAAAGTTTAACATTTGAAAACCACAATTAGTGTTAACTAAAATGAGATGGAAGGTCTTTCAATTCAGAAAAATGAGATGGAGGTTGTGCTATTTTTGTCAAACCCCGTTGAATATCTTAGGATGTTTTTACTTGAATTGTTTTGAGTCACAGACCAGATCAATTCATATCAGTTTTAATCTGACTAGAATTGAATAATTATAAAATATAAGATGACCACACATTTATTAGACCAGACTTGAATATAGTTATAAAATATAAAAAAAATCAAACATTTATCACACCAGATCAGATCAGACATTTAAATTTTGGTCCAAGTATAACATACTAAGTTGACCATTAAGACAATTAAACCATACATATCATGATCGAGCTTATCTAAATCTAAAAACATTATATCTAAGAATGAAGGTTGGAACCCTTGATTTATGTCAATACACTATATGCATGAGAGGTTGTACCTTATTCTTAAAAAATGGAACTTTATTTTACAACAGACTCATATACCCTGCCTGCCGTTAACCTTGAAATACTCAGCTGTTAACCTTGATAAAGCCTTCATTTGTGTTAGTTTAAACGCAACAACTCTTTTCCCTTTCAAATGCTTTGCAATAGGCAATTTAAGCTTCAGTTTATTTTTTCAGATTTGGGTTTAAATGTTTTCATTTTTCATTTTTGGCTCACCTCAATAATGTTTAGATCAAATATAATTACTTTTCATCCCAATTCAACACCTGGATCCGCCTGTATGTACACAGAGTCACATTTCATATATAGCTAGATGCATGGATGAAGGCAATGCAAAATAATACTACCTCAGTTCTAAATGGATTTGCAAATTTGACTTTTTTTGTTTAGCAATTTCATTTTATACACTTAGTTAGGATGTCAATTTTTAATTATATTCTAATTTGGATTTTGTAATTTTTAAGAAATTTTATTGTATTTTCAAAATATTTAAATTTTAATTAGTGAAAATTGAATTAATTATTAATAGGGAGATTTTAACTTTAACATTGATTGACAAAAAATATTGAATTTACAAATAATTTTGGAATGGAAGAAGTATTGTTTCATCGTTGGGCATTAGCTCTCGCACCTTGGGCGTACAAACGCTAGTCACAATAAATGAAAGAATAAAAATACCCATATATGACAAACTCATGCTACTCAGTGGCGGAACCAGGACTCGTGACTCGCAGGGACACAATAACAAAGAAATCATATACTACGTACTACTCTAAAAAATCATATGCATCACGAATATCACAATAAACCAAACTATAAAATTTAAATAAAATAACTACTTAAAGAGTACCTTAATTTTGATTAGAACCTGACGCTTCAAATGAAGGAGATTCATTGAGAGGCGGCAATCTTTGTCTTCGAGGGGCCATATTCTGAAATCGCTTCACAATGACTTCATTCTCAATTTTAACAAATACATCTTTTTCAATGTAACACATCAAACAATCTGTCAAGTATTCTTCTCCCATCTTGTTGCGCAAATCACCAACAATATCATCATCGGACAATTCAACTTCTATTCGAGCCTTTTTAACATTATTGTCATTGTTAGTAATGACATTATCTGATGAAGAAACTAAATTATTCGATGAAGAACCACCAATGCTTGGCTGTTTAGGTTCCCGTGTATAATATCGTAACATAGCAATATTTTGTCAAACAACCTAGGCCAATTACAATTGAAATAATATGAGTATAATTGTATAAATTACATTATAACAAATTAACCACATTAACTAAATCAATAAATACACAATTATAAATTTACAATATAATTAACATTTTAATGAGATTATCAGTTAACATAATTGCCAAAAACTTCAACACTGTATTTGAATTCAACATATAAAAGTATTCAACAATTAACATTTTATTTGAATTAAACAAATACAATTCAATACAACAACAACATCCCAGCCTTAGTCCCAAAAGATATTGAGGTCGGCTAACATGTATCGATACATGATATCACCACCAAAAGGCTTCTAGTTCCTACTCGCTGACTCGCTGTTGTGATTTGCTAACGTTGTAGCTTGAACGCAGTAGCTTGAAGCCTAGAACGTTGACTCGCTTTTAGTTTCCGTCTTTGTAGCTTGAACTTAGTTACGCAGGGGCAAACCGCTTGAGTTGGGACTTGGGGTCTTGGCGTTTTGGCTTTCGGGGAGTTGTGCTATGGGCTGCCCCAGGAAAGGAATTTTGGGATTGGGCTGGCACAAGGGAAAGGGCTAAGGTAAAGGGCTTTTGGGATTAGGCTGTAGGGGCTCAACTAATTAAATATTAATATATGTATATATATGTTATATATATATATATATAATCACTCCAGGGGCACGAGCACCCCCGGGCACTAGGCTGGTTCCGCCCCTGAATTGCTACTCCCAAAGTATTCAGTATGATATCCATGGTTCTTTCTTAATGTATGACGTAGACAATTCTAAAAAAAATGTACGAAGTATGATGTAGACACATATGGAATATACATTATGCGGCATGCAAAGACAAGTCATATTTTAAGAAAATATACGAAGTTTTAGAACTTTTCTCACAATATTTACGACCAAGATATATCAAACATTATTAATTACCACTAGAGTTTTCTCTGTTTCAAAGTAGTTAACTTTGCATTAATAATTGCGAATGATGTTCAATTTTTAATGTACTTTTATTGCAGTTTATTTGTACTGATTTTAAAACTAAATACGTAGTATTGAACGTAAATGTGAATGGTATACGAAGTATATTAGATGAATACCGTCTTCCTGTTTTCCTACGGGGCTGCATATGTAGTGTTGGGATTGCTTAGACTTAAACTATATACTTTATACTCTTCGTAGTAGAAGCATTTGCATGCATACGTACATAGGAGGGTGATAGAGTATATGGGCCTGGACCCCATGGTCCACATACTCAAGTCAACGATGACCAGAAGAACACCCGTGTGGCCCCCTTTCGGCCAGTGGGTCCGCATCGGCCGGAAACCAAACCGGCCCAGGAAGCACGTATGGACCCCCGGGGCCGCATCGGCTCATGGACCGCATCGGCCATGAGACCGCATCGGCCAAAAGGCACCGCATCGGCCCGGTTTCGTCCGGGCAGAATGCATCTCTCTACTTTATTTACTAAGTATTGTACACAGCCCATTAGTGGCCCTATTTCGCCCAAAGAAGGCATAATTATTGTAATGGGCCTCCTAAGCCCATGGCTAGGAGCCCAAATCCACATTTTTACCTATAAATAGACCCCAAGGGGCTCATTATAGGGGGTTGAGAAATATAATTACTCACTTTCTCTCTCTAGCTCTCACTTCTCTCTAGAATTAATACTCTATCAGAGGAAAAAAAAAGAAACTCACGTAGCCCTTTTTTCTTTGTGCTTAAAGCCACTTAGTTTTTCATATAATAAAACAAACTCTCCGCATGCTTAAATAGCTAGCAGGCTAGCAGCACAACACACACCCACACGTACACTTTGCATCTAACCATCCACTAATTAATTTAACCACTAACAACTCCACTAATAGACCCACTCACCCACTAGCTACTTACAACACGCGTATAATTAATTACCAACTCATGCAAATAACTAATCTAATAATCTAGCACTAATAACAAGATTAGTTCCAACAATCACCTCCCAATCTTGTTATTACTTATTTATCTCTTGAAGCCCGTTGTCATCGTTGCCATTGCCATGTAGACGGCCGCCATTGCCATCTTCCCGCGCCGATTTGTCGATGTCGCCGTTGGCCGCGATGAGAGACGCGCCTCCTACGCTTTCACCAAGAGCATGCCGTCGTGTCACGTACTCGCTGCCGCATGTCCGCCACCGGTGCCGCAACTCGCCAGTGACTTGCCTCCATGTTTGCCACTGATGACGCAACTCGCCGATGACTCGCTCTCATGGTCACCACCGGTGACGCAACTCGCCGGTGACTCGTCTTCATGTTTTCCACCGGTGACACAATTCGCCGATGACTCGCTTTCATGGTTGTCACCGGTGCCGCAACTCGCCAGTGACCCGCCTTCATGTTGTCGTCGATGCCGCAACTTGTCGACGACTCACACATGGACGACGATTTCTTCACGGCAATGGACTCCGCACCTTGGCCATCACCTCCTTGCTGCCGGTGGCGCAACTTACCAAGCAGCCTACCTTTCTCCGTCGTCGTGGAGCCGCTTGACAACGATGGAGACTCGGACCTCGACAAACAAGGCTCTGATACCAAATGTTGGGATTGCTTAGACTTAAACTATATACTTTATACTCTTCATAGTAGAAGCATTTGCATGCATACGTACATAGGAGGGAAAAAAAAGAAACTCACGTAGCCCTTTTTTCTTTGTGCTTAAAGCCACTTAGTTTTTCATATAATAAAACAAACTCTCCGCATGCTTAAATAGCTAGCAGCACAACACACACCCACACGTACACTTTGCATCTAACCATCCACTAATTAATTTAACCACTAACAACTCCACTAATAGACCCACTCACCCACTAGCTACTTACAACACATGTATAATTAATTACCAACTCATGCAAATAACTAATCTAATAATCTAGCACTAATAACAAGATTAGTTCCAACATGTAGCATCTCAGATCCACCACAGGGTCCTATAATAAAAAAAGGCTCAGATTAATGTTACAACAACTGATAATGATATTAGGGAGTTTATTGAGATTAAAACTAATCTGAAAGAAACAACACAGACTCGTTTAGCATTCTCATGAGTTGCCGCCGCCCCTTCAGCCATTGTATTTCCGCTGTTCATCACATACTTCCTTCTTGTAGCTAGATAACATCTCAAATCTACTATGACGTTTTCCTGGAATTTATTTTTGATAAAATGTCTGTTAGTGGAACTCTTAACTAACAATACAGAGCATATTATATACTGCATATATACTTCGTACTACATACTTACGTATTATTTAACAAGTACCCAATGTTAAAAACAATTAAGGAAAAAAAATAAAACCCCGCCTTACATCATCTGCAGGCTGCAGCCAGTGGCGGATCCAGAAACAAAAGTTGTTGGGGGCAAAAGTTGTTAAGAAATACTGCTATAAAATTAATCACAATTGCTGCTTGTGTTAACAAAATACATCCAAATTGTTCCTATAAATTTTCTTCTTTTGTATAAGATCCATTACCTATGTTGCACGGAAACTCTCGGGAAAGAGTACAATTCCCGTTTCGGAAACTCTCGGAAATTTTTTGGAAACTCTCCAAATAAGCCTTTTTGAGCAAAAGTTGACGTTTCCCGTTTCTCGTTTCCCCGTGATTTTCGCGTTTTCGTGCAACATTGTCCATAACCATTACGAGTATATTTTTAACAATTTCAAACATATCCATTTCAATAAAAAAATCAATCACTTAAAAGGTATCATCAATTCTGTCACACAATAGTCTCCATTATTTTCATAGAGATGAAGCAACTCTCTACGTTTCTTGTGACAATGGACAAAATCAATGCTAATTTTGATTGAAAATTGCTATAGAGACACTACTATTTGAACTACCCAATGTTAATGAAAGATTGGTAACCAAGTATCTCTTCATTAAGTCTCTAATTAAAAATGCAATTAATACAAGTATTAAGTTAGTTATACATTAATACATTTTATTTACCAATCTAAAATAACACATTATTTAGAACTTTTAATTGATAACTTCCTTAGCAAGTCATCAATTAAAATTAGATAAATTAGATGTAAGAGTTTTTTCACTAATCACTAATACTTTAAAATAAACAATAAACGTGCAGTTATGGAATGGCCGAATCTTTATATTTTCAAAAACACAACATTTTCTGGTAAAAAAAAACATAACATTAAATGCTTACAAACAAAAAATAAGTAATCCCAATGTATTGAATTTCACTACAGATTTATAATTCCACTAACAAATTAGTTATAACCGGCCCATTCGTTAATAGTACCTATCCCAAGCCTCATCGGAGTGAGCTAATATTAAAACAAACTGAAATTTCAGTTAGAAGGCACGTTATAGGGGGCAACACTTATTTTTTATTGGGGGCAATACTTACACTTTTTAAATTTTCTAAGTACATTATATGGATTAGTGAGATTTTGTTGGGGGCAGCTGCCCCCCCTTCTTCCTCAATAGATCCGCCCCTGTCTGCAGCTGCTGCTCATTCTCGATCGTTTTCTGGAAAATATACCTGTACCCCTAGTTTTCTGGAAAGATAAATTAATTAAATACAAAATCAAATCCCTAAATAAGTGAAGTCATGCAACTAATAATGTGACTACGATCAAAAGTTAATAAACTGATGAAAACGGTTAGCAACACAAGGGGGGGGGGTGAATTGTGTGTGTGTGGAACCGTGGCAGTTTTTCGCCCAGTTCTAGTGCGGGGTAAAGGGATATACGAAATAGTAAAGTGCACAAGGATTTAACGAGGAAAAATCCCCTGGCTCAAAGGGATTAAAAAACCTCGACCTCCCTCGGAGGAATTTTAACAACTTCACTAAAAAACCTTTGAATGATTACAAGGGAAACTCTCCTAGTCTACCCTTGAGCCACCCCAACTCTATCCTCTCTAGGAAGAGTTACGCTTCTCTACCTTGCGGGTAGAGAGCCTCTCAGCTTTACAACAAAGCTCTCACTCACACAAATCAACCCGAGGAGGCTGCTCTTAGCCAATCCTCAAAACCCCATTACAATATGAAGAAGGGAAAGAAGAAACTATATCTAGAACTCCGAGTGAGCAGTTTCAGGTGCCTTGAACTTCGTATTTTTCTCTAGTGTGTCTCTGAATATTTCTCTTGTCAAGCACACCCTTTCTCTTCAGCTTCTTTGATTATATATAGACTGCCTTAAATCCGTTGGAGCATTCTTCCTTTGAATAGATGATCTTCTAATTTTTGGGACTTGCCTTGATGTTTTGAATTGTTTTCCTTCCATAGAATTTGCCAAATCTGAGCTTTAATATATAAGTCAGTCAACCAAAATATCAAGGTAATAAATCATGCATCAAATCACGTGAGGTTAATAAGGATTCCAAGCTTTTTGAATTTATTTCCAAATAAGGCGAGCTATGGTCAACTCTTTAAAAGGTAGGGAATTCTTCACAATAAGAGCAAAGAAGCAACGACCCTATGAGGATTCTTTTAAAAACAATTTCCTTATTTGAGTGGATGCAATCATTAAAGAACTTTATCAAAAAGATATTCAATTAATCATGTAACTAAGATTACTTTTTCAAACCTAAAGGGAGTACTTAGCATGCTACGTATATAACCAATAATGTAGGGATCATGCACTCACATTTAAGTAAAGATACTTTCCATAAAGTAAAAAGCTATATATTCCATAAAGTGATATGCCACTCAAATAAGCACTCATATAATCAAATTACGTATATATTATTCCCTATAATATTCTTGACAAAGAATGAACACTCACATAAGGAAAGCACATTAATTTTCAAGTAAGTGCAATCAATATTAATTCAAACCATATCACGGAACAAGAACTGGGAGCGGTTATGTCCGTCGTTCCACCTGCATGGTTAGTCATCAACTATAGACCAAAAGTAATACCAGTCGTTTGTTATCAACAAAACAATATGTTCCAACAAATTCCCCCTTTTTGTTGATGACAAACACTTGGTGCATTAAAGTTAGTTTCATAATGAACAAACACAAAGTATCGAGCATTGAACACATAGGGCACATATTCTTCCCCCTTTTGTCAACAACAAAACAATAAATAGCTTGAATCCAGGTTCCATCTGTATTTGTTCATGTTCATCAAGCTTGTTCTTGAGTACCCATTTGAGACCAATTATGATTTTGTTCTCGGGTCTTGGTTCTAGATGCCACACTGCATTTCTCTCGAACTGATTAAGTTCTTCCTGCATATCTAGAAATCAATCAGCGTCGGAGAGAGCCACTTAATGGTTCTCCGGTTCTATTAAGTGATAAATAAGCAAAGAAAGCACAAAAGTTGCTAAGTTTAGATCTAGTTGATACTCCCTGATTTAAGTCACTCAAGAGGATATCCAAAGGATGTGATCGATGAATTTTCCATCCTCTAGGAGCATTTGAATCGTCTTCACTTTCATGTGACTCATCTGGAACTGGATCTGTCTGTTCTTCAATTTGCTTGGCAGTGGATATCCTCAGTTCTAAGCACGTTATCGTCAGTTCCTGCTGCTATCTCCTCATGGCGATTGCTTTCGTGATTAGTTCCCCCTTGCTAATGGAATTGGTGCAATCTCCGTGTTTAGAGCTTCTGCCCATAATTTCTTTTCAAGACCACTAGAGATTCACGTTGTTCTAGTCATATCCTCCAGTGTTCTATTCTTCTGTTCTACCACCCCATTGTGGTCTATCCCTCTTTCTCCGTCACATAATTGAAGGATACTTAGCAAATTGAACTTAAATCCTTGACTAAGAAAAATTGGATGGTTGGGTGACTTTTCACATTTTCCCACGGCTTCAATTTCTTCTTTGCCGTTGTCTCCAAATGTCACCTTCCCACCACTAAATGGCCGAAGTGAGAGGAATAAAGATGAGTCTCCAGTCATGTGCTTAGAATAACCACTGTCAAGGAACTAGTGATTGTTCCCCCTCACTTGGCGCTGTTCCTGAATCACGGGTTAGTCCGTGGAACCCAGACTTGCTTGGGTTCCATTTTGTATTTGTTTGAGGATGGATATCGAACATAGTCAAAACATCTTTCTAAGGTCTTTTGTCGAGAGTGACATTGATACCGAAGATGCCCGATTTTGCCACAATGCATGCAAACTCGGTTTTCATAGGTATCAACGTATTTAGGTTTCCATTACCATAAAAGCCTCTTGTTTTCTTATGAAAAGTTCGGTTTGGCGTTTGTCCATAACCATTTTTGTGCCTCTGAACCAATCTATCGAACCAGTTTGGTGCAGTTCTAGGTGGTTGTTGATATGGTCTAGAACTGGGTTGTCCTCTGTATCTATTTCCATTAAAGGATCGGTTCTGAAAATCAGGTCTTTTATTAGGTTGAGTGTTCCTTGGAATATAACCGAGACCAGCAGTCTCGTTTTCCTTCTTATTGTGCCGAGGGGGACCAGTTCCAGAATAAGGTCTAGACCTGGTTTTGTTCGTAGCACTATATGCTTGGTATTCCGGTCTATTTTTAAAATTTGTACACTCGGCAACAAGACGATGAAGATGATCAATCAAAGTACCAACGCTCGGAATTTTTGAGAGAAGTTTTTCATCATGATTAACTTGTTTGTTCATACTATCGAGCTTAAGAGAGCAAATGATTTGATCTTGTTCTAAAACCACTTCACTGTACTTAAGCCTTTCATCTATTAACTCTCCCACTTTTATTTCAA